AGTAGGTTTTGTTTATATTGATGGTTTTTTAATGAACAGTTTGAGTAACAGCAGTGGTTTTAGTCTCAAACTGTTCAGTATGAGCAGACCTATCATATGATATGTAGATTAAGTGTTTTTTGTGAAATAGTGTGTAAATGAAGCAAATTTACTTTTTTTAAGCGATTTAGCATTATTTAAAGACTATTTTTGCTATTATAGCGCCACCTATGGTTTGATCTTCACAAAATTTTGCAAGTTTCATCTCGTTGATATGCCACATGTGCTCACCAATTTCTGTGATGTTTTGGGCTTTCCTTATTGGTTTACAGGCATATAGGTTCGTGTGGACACGCCCCTTTTGTAAATTAGCCTGTTACAGCTAGCCAAAGTGAAAAGTTCAACTTTTTTTTGATAATTATTGATCTACACAGTCCAGAGATTCCAACAACACTGGTTTCGTCGCGATTGAATTAAAAACCAGGGACTAGTTCGCAAAAGTAGGTTTTTCCTATATTGATGAATATTTAACGAACGGTGTAAGTGACAGCAGTGGTTTGAGTGTCAAACTGTTCGGTAGGAGCAGGCCTATCATATGATATGTAGTTTGTGTGGTTACGCAAAAGGTTGTGTGATACACAACCCATTACACCTTAAAATTGCGTAAAATCGCCCCCTAGTGGCCGATTTCTTTCAAAATTCTTACAGACCTCTAGGACAATGAGTCGAACATGCCCAGGGAGTTTCGTTCCGATCGCTGATCGTTAACCTTGCTAAATGGTTGCACAATTTTAATTGGCTAATGGCGGCCATGTTTTTGGAGATGTGCTTTTGTCCTTATAATATGTTATGGCAAACTGGTCAAAGACACTGCATGCCAAATTTCAAGCTGATCGGACTAACGGTTGTAAGGTTAGAGTCATTTTATGGTTTTTAAGCTTTATAGCGCCACCATGTGGCCAAAGTCCGCTGTTTTCGCACTGTCACATCAAATTGAGCTTATACATGTGTGTACCAAGTTTGGTGATGATATCTTATTCCGATCAAAAGTTATAGCTCCATTTAGCATTTAGCTTCAATTAGCATCGAACATTGTTGTGTACTGTTTCAAGTGAGAATAAAAATGTCAACTTTTTTTTGATAATTATTGATATTCAGTGTCTAAAGAACATTTGAGAGCTGGTTTAGTTTAGATTGAGTGAAAAACCTAGGACTAGTTCGCAAAAGTAGGTTTCGGACAAAACGCGATGTAGCGGGAAAACGGTGCGTCGTAGAGCAAAAAGTGCAGCTGTGCACTTTTGTTGGGGCTAACCCAAGGATTGAAAAAATGTAAAGTTTTTGAGTGTACGACAAACGGTGAATGTATAGCGGTCAAAAATGTCCAAAATGTTGGTTTTTGGCGCTGTAGCGCCACCTATGGTCCGATTTGGCTGATCTTTGGTGAGAATGTAGTGTACCGGGGTACTACAATCTGGCCAAGTTTCAGCTCTCTCGGCCTTACGGTTTGGTCTGGGCAATAGTGACTTCGGCAGAATAATAATAATAATAAAAATCCTAACAAATACAATAGGGTTTCAGCGCTACGCGCTTGACCCCCTAATAATAAATATAGCTGCAAGCAGCAATTAACGGGGGTCAAGCAGTTTAGCAGGGTAAGGTCATATAGCTGTTATGACGCCTGTAAGTAGTTTATTCGACAATGAAATATATTATTAGAGTGTTAGAGTTTATAGATTGAGCTAACAAATGCTTGAATAAACACTCCAGAAAAGCAACTTCAGTTTTTACATATTGACAAATTTCTTAACAACATTTCGAGTAACCGCTTTTATGTCAAAGTGACCAGTATAAGCAGCCCTATGATATAATGTGTAGATCGAGTCATGGTACCTTAGACAAAGACACCGCATGTCAAATTTTAAGTTAATCAGATAAATGGTTACTCAGATACAGTGATTTTACAATGTATAGCACCAGCATGTGGCCAATGTCTACGAGTTTCGTGCTATGACCTTAGACTGACCTCTTGCATATGTGTAACAAGTTTGGTGAAGATATTTTAGCTCATTCATGAGTTATGGCTATTTTAGCTCTACTTAATAAAAATGACAAAAGAGCAGTGAATAAGCTATTAGTGATCTCCTACTGCTATCTAGTGGCCACGGTGCAATTTATTTATGTGATTACAGCCATTTAGGTGTGCATAAACATATCCCCTCTATGATTGAGCATGTTCTAACTATATAAAATGAAAATTTGTATTTTATTAAAATAATTAAAAATCTACAGAGTAAAAAGTGTGACAAGCTTTGACTAAATTTGATCTTAAATGCATGAACTGTGTTCAGGCCATGTCAATTTGGGATTCAGAATGCATTACGTTACATTATATTCTTTGCTACAGAGCAGTAAAATAAACAATAAGTGGTCTGTTACTGCCATCTAGTTGCCACAGTTGTGATTTTCTTTACACATGTTTTAAAACAAGGTGTTTAATTATAGAAGCAGTTTTACCTATTAGAATTATTATGAAGAGGTTAACTGGGACCAAATAAGATGTTTAATGCATAACAGTGTTTACATCATGTCAAAATGTGATTCAGAATGATCCTAAATGCAATTTCCCTGACTTTAAACTCAAAAAACAAAGGTATGCAAATGTTATGAATAATAAATAATTTGCCTTTTGCTGAAATCTAGTGGTTCAATTTGGTAGGTGACCTTTAAAAGTCTGTTACAGTGGCTGAAATGATAAAATATTGAAAATATGTGTTTTGAGACCTCTAAAACATCCAAAAAGGACAAAAAATTTAACATGTAAATAATTTAAGTGACAAGCTTGTATCAAACTTGTAATAGTGTGTAAATTAAGCACATTTACTGCATTTTTAAGCCATTTTGGCATGTTTTTAGGACCATTTTTACTATTATAGCGCCACCTATTGCCCGATCTCCACAAAATTTTGCATGTTTATTCACATTGATATGGCACATGTGCTCATCAATTTCTGTGATGTTTTGGGCTTTCCTTATTGGTTCACAGGTATGTAGGTTCGTGTAGACACGCCCGCTTTGTAAATAAGCCTGTTACAGCTATCTAAAATGGAAAGTTCAACTTTTTTTTGATAATTATTGATCTGCTCAGTCCAGAGGTTCATACAACACTGGTTTCGTTGCGATTGAGTTAAAAACCAGGGACTAGTTCGCAAAAGTAGGTTTTGTTTATATTGATGGTTTTTTGATGAACGGTGTGAGTGACAGCAGTTGTTTTAGTGTCAAACTGTTCGGTATGAGCAGACCTATCATATGATATGTAGATTAAGTGTATTTGTGAAATAGTGTTTAAATGAAGCACATTTACTTTATTTTTAAGCCATTTGGCATGTTTTTAAGACTATTTTTGCTATTATAGCGCCACCTATGGTTTGATCTTCACAAAATTTTGCAAGTTTCTTCTCGTTGATATGCCACATGTGCTCACCAATTTCTGTGATGTTTTGGGCTTTCCTTATTGGTTTACAGGCATGTAGGTTCGTGTGGACACGCCTTTTTTGTAAATTAGCCTGTTACAGCTAGCCAAAGTGAAAAGTTCAACATTTTTTTGATAATTATTGATCTACACAGTCCAAAGATTCTAACAACACTGGTTTCGTTGCGATTGAGTGAAAAACCAGGGACTAGTTTGCAAAAGTAGGTTTTTCATATGTTGATGAATATTTATTAAACGGTGTAAGTGACAGCAGTGATTTTAGTGTCAAACTGTTCGGTATGAGCAGGCCTATCATATGATATGTATTTTGTGTGGTTGCGCAAAAGGTTGTGTAATACACAACCTATTACACAGTAAAAATATGTAATATCGCCCCCTAGTGGCCGATTTCTTTCAAAATTCTTACAGACCTCTAGGACCATGAGTTGAACATGCCCAGCGAGTTTCGTTCCGATCACTCATCGTTAACCCTGTTAAATGGCTGCTCAATTTTAATTGGCCAATGGCGGCCATGTTTTTTGAGGTATGCCAATGTCCTTATAGTATGTTATGACAACTTGGTCAAAGACACTGCATGCCAAATTTCAAGCTGATTGGACTAATGGCTGTAAGGTTAAAGCAATTTTTATGTTTTTTTAGCTTTATAGCGCCACCATGTGGTTAAAGTATGCGAGTTTTGCACTGTGACCTCAAGTTGACGTTATACATATGTGTTACAAGTTTGGTGATGATATCTTATTCCATTCAAAAGTTATAGCTGCAATTAGCATTTAGCTTCAATTAGCATCGAACATTTTTGTGTACTCTTTCGCGCGAGAATAAAAATTTCAACTTTTTTTTGATAATTATTGATATTCAGTGTCCAGAGAACATTTGAGAGCTGGTTTGGTTGAGATTGAGTGAAAAACCTAGGACTAGTTCGTAAAAGTAGGTTTCGGACAAATGGCGATGTAGCGGGAAAACGGTGCGTCGTAGAGCAAAAATTTCTGCTATACACTTTTGTTCGGGCTAACCCAAGGATTGAAAAAATGTAAAGTTTTTGAGTCTACGACAAACGGTGAACGAATAGCGGCCAAAAATGTCCAAAATATTGGTTTTTGGCGCCATAGCGCCACCTATGGTCCGATTTGGCTGATCTTTGGTGAGGATGTAGTGTACCGGAGTACTACAATCTGGCCAAGTTTCAGCTCTCTCGGACTTACGGTTTGGTCTGGGCAATAGTGATTTCGGCAGAATAATAATAATAATAATAAAAACTTTAACAAATACAATAGGGTTTCAGCGCTACGCGCTTGACCCCCTAATAATAATAATAAAAATCTTAACAAAAACAATAGGGTTTCAGCGCTTCGCGCTTGACCCCCTAATGATGTATCATAATAATAAAATGTCAACAAACTCTTTTCTGCTGCCTTACTAAAATGAGTGCTTAAGCATTTAATTGAACCCACATCAGCATAAAAACAGTATAATGTACACTTGGACTTTTACATTATAACACTACAGGGGCTAACACTACCAGAAATTCAACTACATTCACTACTTACTTGTTGGACTCCTTATCCACAACAAGGCATTGCACAGAGTGTCGCAGACAATAAATTCCTCCAAATACGGCACACATTCTGCAGAAAGAGAAAAAAAAGCAACACCTTAGACACACTTGCATTTATATAACATCCAAGACCGCTAAACACCCATAATTTTATCTGATGGCTTGACATTAAGAGGGCTGATCACACCTTGTCGGCACGAAAAGGACAATATCCAATTCATTTGACAAGGCAAAAATGTCACCAAGATCTTACAATGTGTTAACTTCACAAGTAAGCCTTTTTGTCATGTAGTCTTGGGATTCTGTGGTGATAAAGTAAAGCAGAGCGATCGAATTAAAAACACAAGGACAAACTGTTTTAAAATGTAAGCCCAAAAGCAAACTTAATTAGAAAGAGATGAGCACAGATTGGCATACAACAGCCAACGCTATAAATTACACTAAACTAGAAGTTTTCGTTTTTTAATGTTAATGTTGTTAATGTAATATAACATTAGATATAATATAATAGTGTTGTCACGACACCAAAATTTTGACTTCGATACACCTAAATTAAATATCATGATAATAACAATTCCTTACATTTATATAGCGCCTTTCTGGACATTCAAAGCGCTTGGGGGAATAATATTAAAATGATACTACACCATTTTTTCCCTTTTAAAATGTTATTTATTAATGAACTCTCAATGTTTGCTGTGAGATTAAACAGAGTTGAACCATTTTTAAAAGTAAAACAAATATAGAAATATAAACTAATTTCGACAGCAATCCAGCTGAGCCGTTTTAACATAAATAAATAGTTGCAGCGTGGTTTAAAAAAAATTATAGACAAAAGTTCAACTTTTTTTGGTCTGGTTCTCTTCATATTTTTACATATTGATGTAACATATGACGAGACATGCAGTTTAAGCTGTCCATGATGCCATCTACTAATAAAAATGGGTATTTGTTAATTCAATTCCATTCATCTTTATTTTTTATAGTGCTTTTAAAATGTAAATTGTGTCAAAGCAGCTCGACAGAAGTTCTAGTAAATTGAAACTATGTCAGTCCAGTTTAAGATTTAAAGTTCAGTTCAGTTCAGTGTGGTTTAATTTTCACTGCTGAAAGTCCAAACACAGAAGGGCAAATCCATCTATGCATAGCTTTACAAGTCCCAAACCAAGAAGGCCAGTGGCGAGGAACAAACTTCACCAATTGACAAAAGGGAAGGGAAAAAAAACCTTGAGAGAAACCAGGCTTAGTCTGGCCCGACTATTTCTCCTCTGGCCAAAAAGACATACATTTATGTTGTTCCTCTGACAAGATATTATTACATCATCCGATAGCTTTAGATGATGTTAACAGACTATTACTTAAATTTTTTGTCATGTGGTATGACTGTCCAAGTTAAGTGTGTCCATACTAATATGAAAATGTATTATCAGCACTCGTAGTAAAGACATAATTAGCGTGTATTAATGGAACCTTATTGTAAAGCATTAAATATGCATTTTCTTATTTAATTTACAGAGGAATAAAAATTAGAATGACTTAATTTGTTATTTCATGTTTAATGGATACCTGGATACCTATTGCAAAGTGTTATAGTGTTGTGTTGTATTGTATTAATGTGTTAACATGTTAATTAATTGTGGTCTTTTGTACACTGCAAAGCCCAACAGTGAATTTTATCAAATGAAATGTTTAGTGTAGTTAACTCAAAATTGACTACTCATTTGAAAAGAATTTTAAACAGAGTGGAAGGTAATGAGTTAATTAAATACCTTATTACTTCAACTTAAATGTAGTAAGTTCACAATACACATATAGATTAGTTTAACTCAAACAATTTGTAGCAATCGGTTTCCTCAAACGGTTTGAGCTGCCTTACCTTATTGGGTTTTACAGTACTCAGTTGGTTTGAGTTCTCTTCATTTATTGGGTTTTACTGTGCTCATATAGCTTCATTTACTCAAATGGATTAAGTTCACAGTATTCATTTAGATTAGTTTTTGAACTTAAATGGTTTGTTGCAATCCGTTTCCTCAAATGGTTTGAGTTACCTTACTTTTTGGGTTTTACAGTGTAGCACATTTATTAAAGCAAAAATTTGCATGTTAAAGAGCCGATATTATGGGTTTTTGAAAATGCCCTTCCATGTAGTGTGTAAAAAAGCTCTAAGTGAAGTGAAGTATCCAGCTAAGGCTTAAATCTGTAAGTGTACAGTGTTTAAAACTGTTGATTCATCTATGAAAGAGTCGATTCATAGTGCTTCAAACGAGTCATCTTGATAACGAGTCATTAGGTGTTTCGCCATGACGTGATAACGAAACCAAGTTATTCATGTGCATGCGCAAACCCGGGAAATTTGAAACCTGCGGCCCCGCCCTCTAACACAGAAAACCACACACACACACACAAACATGCCGGCCGATTGAAGTCACACTACAGATGGATATTATTGAGTCTCTACCCAAAGATGAAATCTCAACATTATAACCCTTGAGCAGTTGGAAACTACTGGAAACTACAAGCTACAAAGAATACTCCTCGCCAGTTCTTGAAGTTTTTGCTCAATAAAATAGTCGTCTGTATTTTCAAGTCCATCGTCTGTATTTACATTCACCCACTGGCAGCTAAAATCCACACCTTACACTATCGAGCGTGCATGAACTGTGATTACTTTTCTAATGTTGATTAGCTGCTGGGCATTTCACTCTGTCAATCGCTGAAGGCCGTCAGTGTCGACCAATCGCAACAGACTGTCATCTGTCCAATCAGCGCAGATTAGCTTCGCGCTAAGGAGGGGTTTGGGAACAAATGAATCACTGGACGATTCATATGGGAGTATAATATGAGTAAATAAATGCAGATTATAAGACCATGAAAGTGTTTTTTGACCTTGCATGCATATTAAACTGTTGTTGGAGACCCTTACAACCAAAATATGACCCTATTTCATGTATAATATGGGCTATTTAATGTTTTTTGTTTATCATGTTTATATTTAATATTTTTTGCGATTGTCAAAATGCTGAAAACCTGTAACCATTGACTTCCATGGTAGGAAAATCAAATAATTTGAAAGTCAAAGGTTACCGATTTCCTTCAAAATATCTTCTTTTGTTCAACAGAAAAAACACACAAGAGTTTAAATCAAGTAAAGAGCAAGTAAGAGGTGACGAAATTATCACTTTTGGGTGAACTATTCCTTAATGAACATATTAATTTCGTATATGTTTCTTAGGGGAGTATAGATAACCTTTATAAACATATTTTTTTATTTGTTCATACAATCAGCCCCATTAGCCACCAACTCATATACCACACAAGAAGGCCAGAGGTTAGGTACGGGGACCACATTAAAATGTCTAAAGACAGATGGTGAGATGGAAAGAGACTCTTTTTCTGCTCACTCCAAGCTTACGAGATGGAAAAAAAAAACTTCTGGCCTTGTCTGCCCAGATTAATATAGAGACATGGCATCTTAATAAAGTGCAAAGATGAAAAAAAAAAAGAAAGTCTAAATATGCCAGCAATCATCTGGGCCCATCTCCTGTCCTCCACAGAAGCCCATAGAGGCAGCGGGGAAGCCCTTTGATGTCATTAACCCTAACTGACAGACGTTTAAGCTGATATTACTCTAATTAACTGCCCGCTGTCGGCCGCAATGATGCAGTCGGGCAGAGTGCGTGGGCACTGCCTTTCCCTCTCCAGGCCCCAGCACTCGCCCTGGCGACATCACTCGCCATCACGGCTAAATTAACAGTTGTGAAAATCCAGTACCCCCACAAGCCCCTGCTCTTTATAGCCTCTAAATGGCATTTCAGTTCCTATCAAGACGGGAATCAGGGGACGTGATTTTTTAATACGGTAGCAAAACAATGGAGGCCATTAATAGCCCGACGCCATGACAGCGCGCTCACCGATGATTTATGAGTTTGTGTATAATTTGATTATGCTATTAATTCCACTGATTACAGCTGCAGCGAGTGTGGAGAAGGTCACATCCAAAATAAATCTTCGACAACTCCCTCTTTCTCGTCACCTAACACTACAGCCCCCCCTCCTTTTACCCCGCCGACATCCACACAAAACAACTGCCTCCAACTAGTTATTTCTGTAATTAAAAAGTAATGTAACAAGAAGCACAAACAAGCTTCGGGCTCTAATGGCAACATCATGGTAAAGCTTCAAATAAATTGAACGGAGACTTGTAAGGACGGAGGCTTTTTTTCATGCTGCGGGAAACACAACGGTGTGATACCCGAGCGTTTTTTTTTAGAGATAACAGGTTAAGATAGCTATAGGCTGCAATCCATAACGAATTTCGCTTTGCAAGTTAAAACGCTCTACTTTGTGTTATTGATATCGATCTGTAAAGAGATGTTAAGGTAAGTTAAAAAATAAAAAAGGTCATTCTTAAACTATTTGGAAGTAAGGCAAATGTGTTGAATGTGAAAATGTGTTAAATGTGTTGGAAAAATATACTATAGCTTGGGAGCTCAGTAATCTACATCACGTCAAGTCCAAGCCAGAGTTGTGGACCAAAGAGCACACAATGAAAATCAAAGCAAATCACAACAGAAAACGCAAACAATTTTATAGTAATATCTTTCGAAAAACAATTCACAAACATGCCAACCTGATTTCACTAAGTAGGACATGTTCCTGTATAAACACTTATGTTAATCATGGAGCAACATTCCTATCAGCCAATTAGAATTAAGGTATATGTTTACCATTTATATTAAGTTTAGGCTTACGGTTAGGGTTATGCACTTCTAAATGATTGTTACCCAACTATTATTCCCATCTGATTTTGGGAATGATTTACACTTATGGTTGGATTTATGGGTAGGGAATGGGCATGGATTGGATTTTCAAACAAAAATGATGTTCCAGGATCGCATCGTACATTTATAAACGTTTTTCTTTTTTTTTGTGTGTGTGTCTGTGAAGCGGTTTTGCATTCCATAACATTCTGAGCACAGATACAGAGGGTACGGATCCACCTAATGAATGAGTAACTAACAATAACGTTGTCTCGATAACTAACAGGGCATCAAGAGTTGCCGCAAAAAA